ACACTTACTAGTGGTCCAATAATAATATACCAATAATATAGTAAATCGAGGGTTTTTATAAAAAATGGTTGTAACTCAATAGCATGAAGCAAGTAAACAATTCTCTTATTAATGGGGAAATTTCCAAATTATTTTCATTATTTATACATTTATTCTCAATCCGGGGAAGCAATATCCTCATTTATAAATATCAAGACAAGCAATACAAGCATGCACAAATCATGCCGAGGACGTACGACCCGATCCAACAATATTTAAACTGTGCACTGCTAGAGGGTCGAATGGCGCGAACCATAGATGCATCTATTACCCCGCTCGCGAATCATACATGCGACGCGGTCAAACATAAATAAACAATCACCCCGCTCGCGAATCATACATGCGATGCAGGTACACATAGAAACACACAATCAAACAGTCAATGAAAACTTCATCAGGGAGACAATTATTCAAGGAAGTATCAATTTCTCTTTTACAAGTCGAGAAAATGAAGTTTAACTCTTTTAGAAAATCATTTACCACTTCGATGCAACTAAAGCAATTTAAACTGTCAATAAGGTTACAATTATTACAAGTAAATTATGCTTTTGGGTCCTAGACTACATGGACTTAAGCATAACAGTAGCTACGCACGGACTCTCGTCACTTCGTGCGTACGTAGCCCCCACACATAGAAGCACATATCCAATTGATTCACCTATGGGGACAATTCCCTCTTACAAGGTTAGAAAGGAGACTCACCTTGCTCCGAAGTTCCAAAACCGGCCCTTCTGACGACTCAAATCGATGCACAACGCTCCAAAACTAGCCAATAAATGAGAAAGTCCATAAATATATACTCTAATACTCACAACAATTCAATTTAGATAAATTCCTAACTCCGTTCGAAAAGTTGACAAAATCGCCCTCGGGCCCACGTGCTCGGATTTCAAAAAACTCACAAAATCCGACAAGCCATTCCGATATGAGTTCAACCATACCAATTTTACGAAATTCTGATAACAACTTGACCTCCAAATCTTGAATTTTCGTTCTTGAAAATTTTTGCAAAAATCTTGATTTCTTCCATTTAAATCCGAAATAAATGATGAATATAACCATAGAATCATGAAGTATAATTACTTTCAGATATAGAACACTTACCCCAACCATATGGTGAAAATCGCCTCAAAAATCGCTTCAATCCGAGCTCCATAGCTCCAAATATGTTAAAAATGGCTGAAACCTCGAAATATAGCTTCTGCCCAGGTATTTACTCTTCGCGATCACGGAAAGTACTTCGCTATCGCGAAGCACAACATTTCTCAGCCCAAAATTCGCCCTTCGCGATCGCGGAAGATGTTTCGCGATCGCGAAGAACAAATGCCCAGCTCTTCCAGATAGTCTCTAGTATAATGGCCATAACTTTGTGTACAAAACTCTAAATTGCAAATGATTTAACTTTTTGAAAACTAGACTCCAAGAACTACAAACTTCATGCTTTTATTATCTATCAGATCCTTATAGATTACAAGATATAAGCTTCCAAAGCCAGCCCTGTGCAACACAAATTTCTTCTTTGCAATTTCTAAACTCTTCCCGGATAGGCTGTAGTGTACCAATCATAAAGTTTTGTATACTGCTCCAACTACCAAATGGTTTAATTTTCTGAAAACTAGACGCAAAGGGATACAACTTTCATTTTTGGATCATCTCCAAATTCCTTATAGATTGCGAGATACAAGCTTCCAAAGTCGGGTTAGTGCAGCAGAAACTTTTCCCTACGCGATCGCGAAAGGCCTTCCGCGATCCCGAAGCACTGGCCATTTTCTCCCACTTTACTCATCGCTATCGCGACAAATTCCCCGCGATCGCGTAGCATACTGCTGTAGCCAAAAACCAGCAGCTAAAAATAGCCTAGAAATGGTCCGAAATCACCCCAAAACTCACCCGAGCCCCTCGGGACGCCGTCCGAACATACCAACAAGTCTCAAAATGTATCACGGACTTAGTCGAGGCCTCAAATCACATCAAACAATGCTAAAAATACGAATCACACCCCAATTCGAGTCTAATGAAACAAAGAAATTCTAATTTCTACATTCGATGCCAAAACCTATCAAATCACGTCCGATTGACATCAAATGTTGCACACAAGTCACATTCGACATTACGGACCTACTCCAACTTCCGAAATTGGATTCCGACCCCGATATCAAATAGTCCACTTCCGGTCAAACTCCTCTAAAACCTTCAAATTTCTATCTGTAGTCAAATGACTCCAAAATGACCCACGGACCTCCGAATTCACTTCTGATCGCGCTCCTAACACTATAATCACCATACGGAGCTATTCCCTGACTCGGAATCCCAAACGGGCATTGATAACACTGAAATGCACTTCAACCCAAACTCATGAAATTTTTCCAAAAATGCTAACTTCCACAATAGGTGCCGAAATATTCCCAGGTCTTCCAAAATCCGATTCGGACATACGCCCAAGTCCGAAATCATCATACGAACCTGCTGGAACCTTCGAATCGCGATTCCAAGGTCGTTTACTAAAAAATCCAATCTTAGTCAATTCTTTCAACTTAAAGCTTCCGAAATGAGAATTATCTTTCCAAATCACCTTCGAACTTCCCGAAATTCAATTCCGACCATACGCACAAGTCATAATACCTGAAGTGAAGCACCTCATGGCCTCAAACTGCTGAACATCGTGCTAGAGCTCAAAACGACCGGTCGGATCGTTACATTGTCTTTTTCTTCTTCTCCCTCTTCATCTCATTTTCAACTTCTTCTTTTTTCTTTTTTCTTCTAGTGGTTTAAAATATATGAGAGAAAGAGAAAAATGTGAAATTTTACAAAGTGGGTATTCTGCAAAACATCCCTCGAGATATTTTGAAACATTCCTAGAATGAGTATTCTGCAATCATCTCCTGGGATGTTTGAAACATCTCTTAGGATGTTTGAAACATCCCCGGGATGTTTAAAACATCTCTAGGGATATTTCTTCTGCTTCTTTCTTCTTTCTAGTGTTGTTCTCATTGATCTTTTTCCACAGATGTTTGAAATATCTCAGTAGATGTTTGAAAAATCTCCCTAAATATTTGAGGATAAGGAGTGGCGGGAGGACATAGAGGAGCGTTGCGAGATGGATGAACAAGGGAAGGATAGAGAGACGAGCGTTGCCAGATGGAGGAACAAGGGGAGGATAGAGAGGAGCGTTGCGAGATGGAGGAATAAGGGGAGGAGGAGGAGGAGGAGGAGGGGAGGAGTAGGAGGAGGAATAGGGGGTGGAGGAGGAGGGGGGACTTTATGTAAATAAGAAAACTTTGGAGTTCTTAAAAATTATGTCATTAATATTAATCATAAAAGTGTTCCTTCTACCTCATTCTTAACACTTATTGTATTAAAAATTAATATAAGTTTTCAAGTGTCTTAAAAATTTAATTCCCCCGTCCTTGAAGCTATTAATAGGCTAAATCTTGTTGCCTAAATTAAACCTACAGTCCGCAACACCACTAAATGGTGTTTTCAGAAATATACAAACAAAAATGCTTAACTAAAGTTTAATTAACTTCATCTCCAACTTAGCAATCACAGCACCTATCAGATTTGGAAACTAACTTGCCGTTTTAGCAGAACTGGTTGCCAGTTCTGGACAGATAGAGTTTTGAGGACTTATTTAATTGCTTCGTATTAAATATCAGACGCTACATTTATTGTAAGCGAATATTTTAATAGTTCAAGGACTTCCCTTTAACAAAATTAGATGTCAAAAGGAGGTAAAATTAGTACTGTTTATGGAAGAAAACTCTTTCGTCCCTTTAATAAAAGCTATTTACAGATCTTTTATACTCATGCGTAACAAAGAAATGAATGTAACTACTTTCATAAATCTAACTTTGTTTTCATTATTAAGTGTTTTTTTGTGTAATGCACATTTTTAATGAGTGACAGAGACATGCACTTTATGCCCAGAGGTGTCATCCAATACCGTTTTATTAAAATACGTCACTAATTAGTATGTGTAAATAAAATTCTTTTAAGATAATACAATAAACTAACATGGAAATGAAGTCAAGTTTTAAGAACACTCGCACCTCCAAAGTCCAAACTCAAACTCACGTGGAAGCTAAGTTATGGCAATAGATAGGCATGGTAAAGTCTACGTACAACACTTTAGACAATTGTTAAGTGAGCATATAATTTAGTATAATGCTCAACATATTAAATAAATAATTGCAATATGAAATAGCAATGTTGCATCCCAAACATGAAAACGCCTTTATTCTCTTCACTCATATGCCGTTGAATATGGATATGTAAATATTCGTATATTTCTCAAACTTTAGTAAATAGAATAGCCACAATATGGCACTTGGTCTCGATTGCTAGAAACAAGTTAAGTTGTTTGTTGGGAGAAAAGAATTTGCGGCCAATCTTTAGTCTTCTGGGGAAACTTTTTCAATGTTTACACTGAAATTTCTTGTGTTTATGCATCACTTATAATGAATTGGCTCAATGAAGAGAAAATTAAAGATCGATTGATAATTTGATATCTTGTAAGGCCAGAGTATCGCATCTGGCTAGGGCATAAAATCGTAGTTAGGGACGAGGAGAATTGGTCTCTTTATATGGTTTTGCACATTCCTCACCTTTTGAGCTAACTTTTGAGTTTAGTTAGAGCCAAGGTCTATTTTCCTACTAGTTTGTAGGCAATTCACGTGTGTTTATACATGGAGCATAATATATAGTTACATGAGGAAACTAAATAGAACCCTTGAGTACATGTTTATCCAATATTGTATATGTAATATGTATTCTATGAACATCAGGGGTGGTCTTATACAGAAATGTGACAAGTCTAGGTCGAAATAATATTTACTGTGGTAACTAAGAACATAGTAATGGATTCAATACTTGAGTGTTATTTGTAATAAGTTGAGTGTAGAAAATCTCAGTAGACAAGAAGAAATTAAACACAAAATGTAGCAAGTGTACATAAAGGTGCTTATATTATTACTCAAAATCAGTGTACAAGTACATAAAGTATAAATCAATGGGAGAGAAGAGAACAACAACAACTACCAGTTGATTAAATACTCAATAACTAGCTAGACATATATCTATTTTTCTAAACTCACATGTAAACTATTGTATTTTTCATACCCAAATTGCATTAGCCCTTATGAGCAATTGCTTGAGCTTATTGCCCCTCAAATTAAGGCTCATAATCTCATTAGAACCACCAACCAATTCTTTTCCAATGAACACTGCTGGCACACTAGGCTTACACCCTAATTCAACCAATGCTTTCTCCATTTCCCTCCCATTTGGAATTTCATCAAGCTCGTAAACTGTGGGGTTTGCACCGAAACTACGAATTAGGGTTTCGATGCTGTGAGAGATGCAACAACTACTCATGCTGAAAATCACCACTGGACTTTCTGCTCCCAACTTCATCACTTTTTCCATATTCAAAGTTCAAAAAGATGACTTAAAATTAATGGTTTGCTAATGTTTTCTTGATGAGTTGAAGAGAAAGGAAGATATGTTATCTTTTGTATCTCGAAATGTAACTATGGATATTGTAAAAGGGAGATTGTTGTGAGAAATCTGAATATGAATGAACCTATTTATAAGGGACTAAAGGTGGGTAGTGACAATATATGTTTTCTTTTGTATATCTAAAATAACAAGTTGGTAAATATCCAAAGGCATTTTGGATCATTACACCATAAAGGCATGATTTGGCTTATCTACCTTGAATCTCAAGCAGCACAATCTAGACAACGTAACATGCATGGTGCTTAAGCAGGAAAAGAAAATCGGAAAAGTTATTCCCCATTAATTCTTTGTTATCGACAAAATAGATTTCATTTTTTAAAGTACAGTACTTGTAGAATAGTATTCCAAACATACTTGAATAATTAGGTAATAAATAGGAGCATTTCCTTGGGTAGGATACAATGGTCAAAAAGTAAAATGTAAAATTTTAGAAAGAAGACAATTAAGGTAGTTAAATTCTAAACATTATCTAGATTACCAGAAATGCGTCAATATCATAACCTTAAACAAGTCTTTTAATAAATCTTTAATAGTTTAAAAAAAAAAAGATTAACAAAAACCTCCTTTAGCCAATCCCAAAATTTCCCCTTTGTAAAAAGATCTGTGTAGTATAGTAGCATATGCCATTAAAGAAAAAGCAGTGTATCCAGCTAAGTAAAAGATATTCGCATCCATCTTCTTGATGTGGGAAAATGAAAACCTCAGAAGATATGTTATGAACATGCTGTTCAAATGATGTCCACATTACTATCAGTACGGTACAGAGGAAGATAATAGAGGAAGAATAAGCGAAAAAGGAAGGAATTTGCAGATTCTCCTATTCGACTAACTCAAAATCAAATTCCTTTTAGATATTCCAAACAGCTATGATCAGAAAAAAGGGGTACAGCTTTTTATACATATCATCAACTGATTCTTGTCACTGAGAAAAAATGGCTCAAGGGAGAGAAAAGGGTCGTTAGTACCTCGAAAGGCCACTTATATATCATACGTCCAATGTGTGAGGACGTGATTTTTGCCCGACTAAAAATACTCCTACAAAATTAAAAAATAGGTTTTTCTAAATTATTTTTCGTTTTTATAGAATTTTGTAGGAATTTCCTGTTAATTGTTTGCATTTAGTTGCATGTTTGTGCACATTTAATATCTTAAAATCATGAAAAATACCCTAAAAAAAAGGTTCAAAATGTCGTGCATTGCATTTTAGGTTGTTATTTGCATTTTTAAGGTTAAATCGTTAATTAATTATTTTATTAAACTAAAAATCACAAAAAAATATTCATTTTTACATTTTTAGCTCTTAGCGTTTAAATTGGTAATTTTTCTTTTGTTAATTTAGGATTGGCTAATTATGTAAATAATATAAATAGATAGTTTGTTAAATTTTACAAATTAATATAATTTAGTACTTAATTTAGGATTATTTAAATTAATTAGTTTTTAAAATTAAAGAAAAGGGATCTTGGCGGAAATGGGCCAGTTTAAACCAGCCCAAATCCATACACCTAGTCCAAATCGCCCAAGCCCAATACCCCAATCCAATCTGAAATCCCGCCTAAAGTAAACGCCGTCGTTTGGATGCCGAGCAATCTTGGTCGTTGATCTTCAATAGATCCAACGGCCCGGAACTCATCTTCCCCTAAGTATTTAAATGTCCTAGTCCCGTCCTACCCCCCTCATTTCAAACTCCCCCACTTTCTCACATCTCTCTCTCTCAGCCGCCCCCAAAACCCTAGCCGCCCTAGAACCCACTCCTAAACCTAGCCGCATCTCCACCCACCGCCTTTAGCCGCCACCGGATTTCGCCTACGGCGGCGGCGAAACCTTAAAACTATCCCAAATCCACCCTATTCTCTTTCCCATTCCTCCTAAACCCCACTCCCATTAATCAAAACCGAAAAACACAACAAAAAACCAATAAATCTGACACATAAAAGAGCCAGAAACCCTAGCTCCGCCCTAGCCCCGCCGCCGGAAATCGCCTACGGAGGTGGTGGAACTGCAAAACCCCTCAAAATCACCCCATACACTCTCCTCACCTCCCTGAATCTCACCCTACCAACCAAATCCCCAAAAATCCACCAAAAATAACGGATCTCAGATCCGAAACCCTAGAGCCGCCACCGGAAATCACCTTTGGCGGCGGCAAAACCCTAAACCTACTTAAACTCATACCCTACAACCACCACACCCCCTAGAACCACAATTTACCCATAGATCCTAAAAGTACCCTACTGAAAATTTCAGATCTTAGATATGAGATTTTCAAAACTCTAAAATCTACCTAGTCCGTATAATAATCCACCTGCCAATATCTCCCATCAGGGATCTCAAATCCCCGATGAGTGTATTGGCATGAGGGTTTTTAGCGGCTAGATTTCTTCTTTTTTTTTCAAAACAGATTCTTAGGTATATTTTATGTTGTTTTCTATTTTCCTTTATTACGTGTTTCATCGTTATATTTTGTCTTTATTTTTGTTACTGTCTTTTTTATTGTCTGATATTCTGTTTAAATTGTTTAATAAAGCAGACTTAGTTAGGAAGAAGTAAAATCATTGTTAGGTATAACTTCTTTTTTCTCTTTCGTTTTGATTTTATTTTATAATTATTTGTTTTACCATTATTAATTTTACGTTTATTTTTTTTAAGTATTATTGTTTTGTTTGTTTATTTGTTTAAATTAATTTCTTGCTTTTTCATTTAGTAGTTGGTTAAGAACTGGGCCTCACTGAAGCGGCCCGTTCCACTTGGCTCATAAATTGGGTGTGTCTAATTGATAGGTCCATAGCTTTGTTAAAAGCTTAAGAGCACAAGGTCCTTAGGCCAAGACTCACCTGACTTAGGCCCATAACCAGTCTGGTTCTGAGGCAATTCCAAGACTCTTAAGGGTCAATTTTGGAAATCTTAATTCTGAAATCTTTTAGAAATTGCTAGAAACTTCTAAAATAAGGACAACTGTCCCAATGCTGAGTAAGAAGGATAAAGATAAGATCCCAAAATATCCAGAAATTAGACAGTTGTCCATTTTCTGAGATAAGAGGTGTCACACCTCCTTTTTTACACACCCGAGAGTAGTACAAGGGTGTTTTTCCAATTTAAGTGACATTAAATGGGACTATTTAATTTATTTCAGAGTCGCCACTTGGGATATTTACTATGGCGTCCCAAGTCACCGATTTATTTTAAGTCCCAAGTCGAGGAAATTTCGACTTTCCTTTTGAAGTCTGCGAACCAGGAATTCTGAATAAGGAATTCTGTTAACCCGAGGGAAGGTGTTAGGCACTCCCGGATTCTGTGGTTCTAGCACGGTCGCTTAAACTATCATAATTGGCCTATTATCTGCTTTTAATACATGTTTTAGCCTATGGTATATTTTAAATTAATAATCGCTTTTAATTAATTTTAAGGAAAATTCAACGTCATCTAAAACACGTCTTGAACCACGTCACATAAATGCACCCGCGGTCCACGACATATTTTATCTAACGTTGTTGAGATTTGAATTTGGGTCACATAAATGCACACCCGAGTTTAGGAAAGTAATTTCTTAAATAGTGCGCCTAAAGCAACTACACACTTTCAACTTTGCGAGGGCCATGGAAATTCAACTAAATGGCACGCCTCGATTTCTAAGGATTAAAATATTAATTAAGCGAGGGCCATGCATTTTGAGATTTTATTTGGCACGTCACACCTCGATTCCAATTTTTAAAGGAAACTTGAACTAAGTTTTGGAGGGGCATAAACTATATCTTGCCTAATATAGCATGCCTCCAATTTTACTTTTAAAAGCCCAACTAATTAATTAAGGGTGGTTTAAAGAAAACATAATTATTCTAAACTAAAATCCAGACTTAATCCATTTGAACAGACGGACTAACATTAAACGAAGTCCGTCCTATTTCCAAAGCCTAGCCTGAAGTGAAGCCCAATAGCCTATCAAAGTTGCAAGGCTACCAAGGTGCTGATTTCACAATGGCTTAAGCTAAGGCCAAAAGGGGAGCCCGACTCTGAAGGCATACCATAACCGCAAAACTGGGACTCAGCATCGAGTCCCTTCAATAGCACAAAATAGCATACATTCGAATTTGGAATTTAAAACTGACCCCATGTCGATTTTAATCAAAGTAAAGCAGACAAGGTACGAAACGAAGCACCATTAAACCATAACACCCCTTCAAACAATTGCCCAAATTCAACTATATGTCAATCAGCTAAGACCACATGAAACATGCGAATAAAACTACCATTTTTGCTTCCAAATTTTAACTGTTCTAGCATGGAACGACCAGATAAACATTTTGAATAAAAAAAAATTCAAAATCAAGCAATCATTTTGTAATCATACTTGAATCAGTTTTCAACCAGTTTCAAAAGACAATTCCATGCTACTTAAAACCTCTGTTCAATGTGTGTGATTGACAAATGAAATCCTAAAGAATTAACCCAATAAACAACTAGGAATCTGAACTTTAACCCCAAAACTGAGCATGCTCACCAAGCATCACACAAGTAAATCAGCACAAACTTACAAACCATTACTCAGCATTTTAACAAATTCGAATGGAAATCAATGCTAAAGCCGAATTGATCTTCAACAGAAATTAAACAAAAGTCTAAAACCCAAAGCAAATAAGCTGAATCTTTCATTGCCATATCCTTAACAGTCCATTCACACTACATCTAATTCGAGTTCATTTAGATCAAATGGCTAAAACCCATGATTTGTCCAACATTACAAAATGCACCTAGAACTAAACAGAAGTTTCAAGTCTGTTAGGAGACTTAAAACCCTGGCATGTTACTTATTGAATCCCAACTTTGCAACCACACTCTCAGATGACACTAATTTATCTTTAAAGCATATTAAAGGCATGGGGAAGCTGAAAATAACATGTATAACTTTAAATTCATTACAGAAATGCTACAGAAATAAAAGAAACAAAGAGGCAAGATTCAGCACAATTTCATGTTTAGTCAAGTTTGCACTCGAAGATGCATGTTTACAATCACTTGCCATCCATA